GGATGATATGATAGAGAAGATTTATAGCTCAGGTGGATGATTTTGATGTGGTTGTGTTCTCTGAGCTGGATAGTTAATTTGCGAAGCTTTCATTGCCCCCTACTAGGCAACATCTTCAGCGCATACTTCAATTTGGTGAAGTGATCTTTTAGATTTCTCCAAGAGTTTATTAATCATCTCCCCCGGTGACCTTGGACGTGACTGGTTGTTTGGGTGCTTCCAAACCCTCTAGGTTACTTGTAATTCATTGTTTCTTTGACTTGAACTTTGACCCTTTGTGTGTGAGGTTTCTTTCTTATCGGTTGATAAATTTTATCGATTTCGATTTAATTTAATTTGATAATTCCCATTGAAGCATTAAGAACACAATATTCCATGTTAACTTGCTGCGTTTTCTCCATTATAGACTTCTAAAGACAATCGAGGTCTTGGCCATTCATGACTTCATGCCAGACACACCTTTGTGTACAAAAGAAGTATGTACAATGCCTACTTCTGCCTTGGCCGTAGAGGTATAGACATTTATTTATTTTGTTTATTTAGTTATTCTATGTACCTTTCCCTTATTACTACGACTATTATTATTATTACTATTCTCACCCTGAATTGTTTCCGCTTGTCCCGCTTGTCGTTCTAAACCCAAAATATTTTACAGTGGTGAATTCTATCTTATCAAATTTCACACCATATTATGTCACATTTTATATTCGCCTACTAATCCTATAATTATGCACCCCTTTTCAACATCTATACACCTTATGTATTATTCTATATGTGACATTAATTATTTTGCCACTTGACATTTAACTATGATTATAATCACAAACATTTTAGTTTTAATTGCATTTCATATTATATACGAGTATGACCAAGGATTGATATCAGTCAGAGAATTATTGAAAACCAGCCACAGAGAGTACTGGACAGCTGTTTCCTCCGTCCTAGTTTGGGAATCATCGGCAGTATGTACCCACCCCACAGGGCGTTCGAACCCAGGACCTTCAAGTTACAAGGCAAGCTAGCTTGTAGACCATTCAGTCACTGGGACCCGACCCGATTCAATGGCCAACCCATGAATTCTAACTTCTACAAATTCGCGATTTTTTAGCGCGACCACCAACTAATGTCATCGATGGGAAATCAATCCTCACACTAGACTGGATGAACCTCACTGGTCGCGACTTCTCACTAGGATGAAACAGCTGTCCAGTACTCCGGGTGCTAGTTTTCAATGGTTCTCTCTAACTGATATCAATCCATTGTCAAACTTGTCGCAAAAACAAATCTAATCCTTACAAACCAACTCTCAAAAATTTCATACTATTATTATTTCATGCGTTTACACCTCTGATCTAATCTCCTCATCGGATATAATTTCTTAAAATCCATATATAAATACGATTGTACAGCTTGTTAATAAATTCGTCGGAAAGAGTCTATTTGCTGAATATTGTGTTCTTAATATTAGACATGATCCACGAAGTTCATATCATCTATTGTCTTTTTATGTTGGTCCAACATATGTCCGTCATCCCGATAGCTCTACACAAATAGTAGCACTAATATATCTCTCGGCATGACCAATTTATAACATACTAAAACCTGAATTTAATTGGTGGATGGTAACTAGCAGTGGAATCCAGGATGCGCATTTCGTCCTATTCGGGAGTCATCCGCCAGCTGGATGTACCTACATTTCCCAGTGAGTGATGATGTTCCCACCGAGGCTCCAACCCAGTGCCCATAGTTTCAAACGCCAGTCAAAGCGTTATCCACTAGACCACCTGGGCCACGAAAGCCACCTCTTATGCAATGGGTCATATTAATTACTTAATTGAATTTTTTAGCTTTTCCCGTCGACTGATTGGACCGAAGTGCTCGGTTAGATAAACGAATATAGGTTGAAATGTTACCATTTATTCCAGCTCCCGTCAATTTCTTTGAATTTACCCTTTAAGTGATGCTTGTACGACGTGTGAATGAATGAATCAGTATAGTACACATAAAATACACTAAGCTGTAAGAATTGATTCACAGGATAAATAATTCAGAATGTGTCGCTCTCAATTTAGAAGACGCATACAGTTGAGACTGTGTTGAGCCTTGGGTGGATGACTTCGGCCCCACTTTATCAATAGATTAGACAAAACGTAGATAAACAGACAAGCGACAACTAGCACGAAACCTAGGTCAGTTTGGGCCTCCTGCGGCCGATTGTCTCCAACCATCTAATATCATCAAAATCAATGTGCACTGTGATGGCAAGCTACCTAGTTAGAATGGCGGCCGCACTGCAAACCTGAACGATGATAGAATTCAGTCAAATCAAAGAAAGGACAAAACACATCACACTAGTTGCTAACTAGTGTCCAATCGAAGACAGGTGTGTATATATAAGTGATAAGTACAAAACACCAGAATATTTTGCTTACACTACCGACAAATCGTCATCTTACATCCCTCATTCTTGTCTGTACTTGAATGAGAAGTCAATACATTGACCACACTTCAGATTATGAAAATCATGTGCTCACATACTTAAGTGTATGTGTAATGTAGATTGAAATTAACCGATATGTTGTTGCTAGGCTATTCAGGTACACACATTAGAATCAAGTATGTCCAAATACTAGTTCACACCTAATCATCGTGTGTTTTGTAAATTCATGACTTAGTAATAATGAATTGATAAAAAGCAGAAAGAGAAATCTAATCCATTTCGTATGCTCTGCAATTCTGAAACTGCTCCTAGATATATCATCATACCTCTGTCTTTTCTATGATGTTCACTTGGTGTTCTGTCTTCGCTAGCTGCTTCTTTTGCGGACTTGTTGGTTTCACTTATAGATTCTCAAGTTCATGTGAGACGACATGATACATAAATCATACATATTGAGGAAATGTAAATAGGTGATTGAAGCATACACACACGAATGACTTGTCAATCGAACATTTGGATTTGGATGCTGTAATGATGTGGCTAATTGGCTTAAGCGGTCGGTTTTCAGCCATTTAGTCCCGGGTTCGAACCCCGCTTCGCTAATACCTCAACATTGGGCAACTAGGTAGTATTGTGCTGACAGCTGTCTGCAAGTCAAAATTGTAGACAACACAATTTACGTCAATGTTTACATCCCGAATCGGGGTCATGAGAAGAAAAAACCAATAACTAAACTTAACTTTGAGGAACTCAACAACCAATCAGAACAGACTTAACGTGTGCAGGTACGATTCGCAGATATATGGCTTAACTTTCTAAGAAACAGAATAACCTTCAGCAGGAACACAACTAATCAGAAGACACTGCTTCTCTGTGCACAATGAGGCTAATAATAATTTACATAGAAATCTATAAATATCTGTTGATTTTTTCAATAAACAATCTGCTGCCTGGTCCTTGTCTTCTGTCGTTACAGTGGCACCACCTTCTTATTCTGCAAAAACTGTTGTTTTTGCTTTATTAAAAATCATAAAGGGAAATAAATGTATGCAAATAACATATATTCAAGTATTGGTTTGTAGGGATTTGATTGATTGGTTACAAGATTTCATCATGAGTTGACATCGGTTAGAGAACCATTGGGAAACCAGCTAGGGAGTACTGGACAGCTATTTCACCCTAGGTAGAGTGTGAGGACAAATACTCGTCAGCGATATCAATGCCAAGTGCCAGTCGCGCTATCTCGTGAATTAGGGGAAGTTGGAATTCATGGGCTGCCCATTGGATCGGGTCACAGTGGCTTAATGGTCTACGAGCTCGCTGGCCTTGTAATCAGAAGGTCCTGTGTTTGAACTGTGGAGGTGGGTGCATACTTTTGAAGAGTCTTGAACCAGTAGGGCAAAACAGTTATCCAGTGCTCCCAGGTTTTGCAGTGTTTCTCCTAACAGATGACAGCTCAGGATGAAATCCTCTAACCGAAATAATATATGTAAGCCCAATCACCCTGTGAAGGTACAAGCCTATCAGGAGAGGAACAATCCTTATTACTTCCATCTTGTCTATTCATTTCAAACCACCCGCCATCACACATACAGAAAAAGGAATATTGAATATATTTGTAATATTCATTATTATTTTTTTCACCAGAATTTATTTGTTGAATAGATAGATCTCTAAAATTATATGAACCTGAACCAAGAATATTATTATTGTTATTATTAATAAAACAGCGATCAACGGTCATGAGCATCTCCAAAGATCCCTTCTTTTCAAGTACCAAGTATGGTTTTAGAATCTTACAAATATACTTTTTTTCACCTCGTCTTTTTTATCCTTCAAATAAAACGTTTGTTTGTCTGCTGAAATCACCAGTAATCATATAGAATATTTTTACGATATAATAAATGTACTACTTAAATTGAAGATTTCAGTAGTTAATTACAAATCTAGAAAAAAATCATGTTTTTGATGATGATGGTAGTGACGATGGATTTAAAAAGTGATACAAATCTGTAATATGATAAAAAACAAACAAACAGAGTCTGACTGGCGCTAATATTTAATATATAATGATTGTTTTAATGTCTGTATTATTTATATATATGCATATGTATTTATATATATTTATAGGAAAGACGACCTTGATCAGTTGAGTTCTTTTTCATGAAATAGTAGTGGGGAGTAGGGGGAGGGAGAATAAAAACTTTAACCATAATCAGGAAGATAATTCCTCACTTTTTAGAGAAGAAAATGCTTTGAAACTGCAATCTGATTAGGGTTGTGTGCGTCTCTCTGGGATCTAATTATTATCGAACATCTGAAGAGTGTAACGCTTTCTTCTTGAACATTAGGAGAGAGGGAGAAGATCTGAGGAAGCAGAATGATTAACAACAGTGGAGATGATATCTTCTCTCTCTCTCTGCACACACCCACCTTTTCTTGCTTTTATACATTGATTTAGATGTACATCTCTGAGAGGGGTGAGTGTGTGTGTTCTGTTCTCAAAGCCTCTTATTTCAGAAGAGAGAGAGAGAGAGCGGAGAGGAGAGGAGAGATTCGCCTATTTATATCTTTCCATCGGATGATGTGTATTGTTTACAGGGAATCTATTCTGTCTTCCTAATTGTTCTGAGGCAGGATTATGATTCATTAATATATTATAAGATTGATGGTGATCAACAGTATTATTATTATTACTATTATTATTAGACATTCTTGCACGAATACCCATTAATGGGGATACAGGACGTATAGGATGATGATGATGTGAGGATTGAATATTTGGACTTAATGATTGTCTACTTGATGATGAATATTGATAATATTGATCTGGTTTCCTTTGATATCGATATTGATCTGAAAATGGATGATCATCTTGTGATGGAAAGACAGATGGTGATGAACTAGAGACTAGAAGACTTGTAGAACTTCCTGTAGGCAAAACAGCCACAGAAGCAGAAGCACCAGCAGCCGGAGGACGAGATGGGTGAGGAGGCTGATGAGGATGCTGTTGAGCAGTATGTATAGATGATGAAGATTGTGAAAGATAGTCACAAGATGATTTGGATTGTAGATTCATATTTAACATGGGATGATTTGAACGATCAGGATGATGGGGATGGGGTAGTTGAGTTTGAAGACTTATTAGTTGATGAACTCGACTGATGGCCATATGATAATCTGTTAATAATTGTCGTCCATACTGAAATAATCAGAGAGAAATGATAAAATATTAGTGTCAAATAGAATTTTATAAAATGTAATTTTACACACACATACACACGCATAAATATCGTTTTCTGATGCCGTAAATAGTGTAATAATTAAAACAACAAGTTGGCAGAAGAAGCATCCAGAGAAGATAGGACTTCCTTCACGTGAACATAGAGAAAACAGATGTGAGGATGAAGATTCCTGGCCGACAGCAACACCAACAGCAACAACAGACAACAATCAGCATAAGTGGGAGGAGTCTGAAGGAAGCAACCTCCTTCACCTATCTGGGAAGCATTGTTTCAACTACAGGCGGACGAAACTGATGAGGATATCAAACCGCGGATCGATAAAGCAAGGTGAGCTTTCATTTCTCTTAAATCTGTGTGGAGGTCAACAGCACTCAGTATGAAAAATAAGATCCGGATTTTTAACTCCTATGTGAAATCAGTGCCACTTACTATACGGATCAGACTTGGCGCGTCTTGAAAAGTACTTCGAACAAACTACAGACCTTCATCAACAGCTGTCTTCGCTCAATGGTACTCAAGATCAGATAGCCAGAAAAGATCAGCAGCAGGGATCTTTGGCAATGAACGAACCAATCCAGCAGGAACCAATTGTGTAACAAATCTGCAGGAAGAAATGGAGATGGTTTGGCCATACTCTGACAAAACAAACCATCAAGTGAGTGACATCACACGCCAGGTCATCGCTCGAGTGGGAACCGAATGGGAAGAGGCGAGTTTTTTATCAGTGTGAAGGTGGGGTTACATGGAGGAGGTCACGCGAAGAGGAGATGAAAGCATGTGGGCAGACATGGAGCCAGGTGAACACGTTGGTAGGGAACCGAACGCAATGGAGAGGTACGGCTGAAGCCCTATGTTCCTCTAGGAACTAAAGGAAACATCAATAATAATAATAAATAATAAAACATTATGTTTATAAGAACTCGCAGACTTTACTAACCAGTTCCAAGCCAAGCAAAAGAGAGGAGATCATTCACTATCTAAAGTGCAGGAAACCTTCAACGCTAAATTTACAATTATTCAACGCTACACTCCCAAAAACCAATACGGAACAAGAAAAGAAGGAAGACTTCTACAGAAAACTACAAACAGTAATGGATAAGATCCAAGTCAGATGGCGACGTCAAACGCCTAATGACATGATGATATTTTTAATTATTTGATTATAGCTTGATTCCACACCGTACTTTTGGTACAAGTATGGGATTTGCTGTATGTGATAAAGGTAGACCGAATTTAGCAGGCCAACCATTGATGATATCAGGTGTGTGTCGGCAGGGGATCGAAACCCGGACCATGTGCATGGTCGGTGAGAGTTCTAACCGATGTGCCATCGAAGCACAATGCCGAACTCGAGGGCAGACAGCACAGTGAAAGAACTCATCACACCATGGATCAAGAGGTTTCTGGTGAAATAAATGAGAACGGTTAACAATTTGCAGACTTCTGTGACTTTGATAATCTGGCGATTGAGCGTAACGTGTACAAGTACAAGGATATGCACAAGGCGATAAGCGTTTCATTAGATGGACACACCAAAGATCAGACAGACTTCATTTCAATCTCAAGAAAGTGGAAACGCAGCCAGCAGGACACAAAATCGAAGAGGAGAGCAGATATGGGCTCAGAAGATCAATTAGTGCAAGGAAGCTTCAATATCAAATTGAAAACTGTCGGAGATAGACCAAAATTCCATGTTTAGCACCTATAAATTGAAGGGCAAAGCTTCAAATGGCGCCTACAATGTAGTTATCTGGAAAAAGTCAGTGACATTAATCAACATCATGGAGGAAAACTGAATGTTGTTGTTGTTCCCTTGGGTTCCTAGTGGAACATAGGGCTTCAACTGCACATCTCCACTTGCTTCTGTCTTCTGCTGTACTTTTCACTTGCATCCATGTTATTCCATATTGTTTCAACTCTTCTTCACAGGATCTCCTCCATGTCACCCTTGCACCGACGAACCACTCGCCACTTCCCTTTCGGGTCCCACTCGAGCACTGGCTTGACGCGCGATGTCATCCAGAGGCCTCCTCAGCGAGTGTCCAATCCGTCTCCACTTTCTCCTGCACATTTGCTGGGCGATTGGTTCTTGTTTCGTTTGTTCCTATAGTTCCTTGTTGGTGATTCTTTCCGGCCATATGATCTTGAGTATAGAACGAAGACAGTTGTTGATAAAGGTGTGCAACAGGCTGTTGGAAATATTCTTTGTGACCCACCAAAACTCAATGAAGAACACTAAAACTTTCTGGGAGCAATGTGGAAGGATTCATCTACAGAAATCTTAGGCAGGAAGAAAATTCACTGGACACCTGAAAGGTCATACAGAAGAGAAAGGATGGGGAAGTAGAAGATGAACCAGTGATTAGATGAACAACCAAAGGAGAAGTGGAATTCAATCTTCAACGCGTTAAATAAAAAAGATGAGGAAGAGTGCTAAGAAAGACAAAAGACTGCTTTACGACAAACTAGCCAATGCAGCAGAGCAAGCGATAGGTAAGTTAGACCTCACACCACTGTATCAAACAACCAGCTGCCCCCCTTACCCGGGGAAAGATCAGTGCAAATGAAGCCAATAAACAATAGTGAGGGTAACCTAATTACTAAAGAGTTGGAACAAAGGAAACGCCGGGCTGATCACTTTAAAGAAGGACCCCTGAAAAGAACACCATCTCCAAGACAAAACAGAGGTAATTGAAGACTAAAACGTTCCTGGAAGCTGAGAAAGGAGCAGAACAACGTCAAGTCTCCTCAGAAGCTCTGAAAATGAACCCAGAGACTTTAAATGGTATTCTGACGCCACTACTGCAGAAGGTATGGAAAGCAGGGATGGAATCTGCGCATTGGGAGAAAGTTCAGCTTGTCAAACTTCTGAAGACATACAATTATGCAGAAACTGGCGCAGAATCTGGCATTTGTCCACTCTAAACGAAATTCTAAGTCGCATAATTCTGGAAAGACGGAACGATGCTATGGATGGCAGATTTTGCCCTAAACACGCTGGACTCAAGAAAAAAAATTCATGCATGTTTACCTCAACTTCATCAATTTTAATTAGGGCTTCGACAGTATCAGCTGCAAAGTAATTTGAAAACTGCTTCAACGCTTCACAATGCAGTACCGAAAAACCTTTATAAACCTCATTCCATAGTTATATGGTGATACCACATGCCGAGTAATTCACAAAGAAAAAACCACCGAAGCCTCCGAAATGGATACAGAAATAAGATGAGGCTCTCTAAGTATCACTGACGACCTCCCTCCGTAAAACAACCGGTGTTCTGTGTGAAGGAGAAACAGGTGTACTCAGCCACTATTACTGACCTGGCCGGCCTTCAGTGGAGACTATAATTTATGAATTATATTATTATTTTTCCTAATTTCTCTGTCTTATATTCAGTGTGTATTGCTATGTTGATGCTGTTGAACTGTAATCTATTCGTATTATTGATTGATTCAATGTTATTTAAACAACATTAATGTTGTCAATAACAATAATTTTCTAACTATTATGGATATATAACTGTAGAATCTGATGAAGAAGTTATCAAAAAGAATATTCTGTGTTCAGAAATCAATCTTTTGAAATTTCTAATGGGCATTTTTGTTCATTTAAATTGCACTTCCCGTTGTCTGTTCATGTTGGACAGAACTGCTGGGTCCTGTTGCACAAATGGAACCCTAGTAGCCTATTTGATAATGCTTTGGGATTTCGAAACAAGGAATGCAGGATTCCAGTTTCAGTGCAGACACCAACACTCACTTGGAGACACAAGTGTATCCGGTGCTGACGAGTCCAAAGTAGGACGAAATAAGCATCTTGGATTCCACTGCTAGTGACCACCGACCAAAATAATCATAAGAATCACTACTACACATTGTGTGAATGGGTGTCCGTACCTAACCGTGCGTCGGTGGTTCGATGGCAGAATACTCGCCAACTATGCTCGCAGTCTGGAGTTTGACTCCCGGACAACGCATTCCTAACAGTCGGTATTAAGCCTGAGAAAGAGGGAACGTTGGGTGTAAGGTTAGCAAAGTAACCCCTCCCTTAAAACAACAATACCAATGCTAATGAAACTCCAAGACTCGAGGCCCTATATTACACCTGGAGCGAAAGGAACGACAAACTCATATTCCTGTACGTTCCCATTGGAACATAGGGTAGCTACAAGTTAGAGGCTTGAAGTTTCGGTAGCAGTGGTGTTTATTTTTACAGGATGGGGTTGATAGCCTCGTGTACAAGCTTCCCTTTTTGCCAGTCTTATTACTGGCTTGGTGAGCGAGGTAAAGGAGTGAGTCGGTGGCCGGGGATCGAATCCCGGACCGCCTGAGTGGTCGACGAGCATTCTGTCACTGTGCTACCGACGCGAAAAACTAGTACATTGCGATACTACTGCAAGACATACTGACAGTTGGTAAAATCGCACGAAATGGATAGATGAGAATCAACTGCATGTAGAAAAGTAGTACAGCAGAAATACGACTGAATCTTTCACTCCTTTCACGTAACCATCGTGGATAAAAATGAAAAAAAGGAGGATGTGTTGAGAAAATGGCAAAAGTAGGTTAGTAATGCGACAGAAAATAACTCAAAAAATATTCAAGTGAAAACCACCGAGTCAACCACTCATCGGGGTTCGTACTGGTGAAGAGTCCGAAAACTAGGCTGACGAAACAGCTGTCTAGTACTCCCAACTGGTTTTCCAATGGTTGTCTAACCAATGTCAGCTCATAATGGAAATTCTGTAAAGCTTCAAAAATAATTTGTCATACATATTTCTGATACATCTACTCACCTTAGCTATACGTAATCGACATATCCAATGACGTAGAGCTTTCTCATCTGTAGCACAGAAGCAAAATACATGCGTTGAAGCAGGATCTTGTGCAGAATAAGGCTAAAATAAGATAAAATAAAGTATAGGCAAATATTATTAGAGATAATTATTATATATATATATGCCAGCGTCAAAAATAAGATCGGGATTTTCAACTCCAATGTGAAGTCAGTGCTACTATACGGATCAGAAACTTGGCGTGTCATAAAGAGCATCTCAAACAAGCTACAGACCTTCATTAACAGATGTCTTCGCTCAAAACTCAAGATCAGATGGCCGGAAAGGATCAGCAACAAAGATCTCTGGGAGCGAACCAACCAGGAACCGATTGTGAAACAAATAGGCAGGAAGAAATGGAGATGGATAGGCCATACTCTGAGGAAACCAGCAAGTGACATCACTAGACAAGCCCTCGAGTGGAACCCGAAAGGGAAGCGATGAGTTGGTCGTCCAAGGGTGACCTGGAGGAGATCATGTGAAGAGGAGATGAAAGCATGTGGGCAGACCTGGAGCCAAGTGAAAACTCTAGCAGAGAACCGAACGCAATGGAGACGTGTGTCTGAAGCCCTATGTTCCTCTAGGAACTAAAGGAAATAATAATAAATGCCAACAATCAAAGTAGATACTTTATAGGCTTATATTGATAGAGCTGCATCTTAACTAATTATAAAGAAACTAGGCTGGAAGAATCATGAGAGTATTTTGATATGGTTGTGTTCTTTGAGCTGGATAGTTAATTTGAGAAGCTTTCATTGCCCCCTACTAGGCAACATCTTCAGCGCATACTTCAATTTGAACTGAAGTGAGCTTTTAGATTTCTCCATGAGTTTATTAGTCATCTCTCCTAGTCCGTGACCTTGGACCTCGTGATTGGTTGTTTTTGAGTGTTTTCACACCCTCTAGGCTACTTGTATTGTTAATGGTGTTGATTGTTTCCTTGACTTGAACTTTGACCCTTTGTGTGTGAGTTTTCCTTCTTATCGGTTGATAAATTTTGTCTATCTCGATGTGTCTATTAATTGATGACTCATTGGAATGCCAAGCTTGGACATCTTAGTCAAGAGAACAACCACGGGGGAATTAGAAACTCAAGTTTATAGAAAATCAACTGAAACAGACCAAATACTGCATTACAACAGCAAAATCCAATAACACACAAAAGGAATTATATACAAACACTATTCAAGAGAGACAGCCAGGACTCATCGCAGCACTCCCCCCTTAAGGAAAATTGAAGAAAGATATCTCATGGACGTCTTCCAAAAGAATGGATGGATATCCACGGAACTTCATCAAAAAACATCTACCCCCAAGCCAACCTACCAAATCAAAGCCCCCCCAAACAAAGCGAAAAAATCGCTCTACGACAGATAAAGAACATCTCAAAAATTACTGCAAGACCCTTCAAACCTTCCTTAGGAACTGATGTCGCAAAACAAACCAACAAAATCACTTCACTCAGTTCTATGTCAACCAAAAGACTCAACAACGAAAGAAGATAAAACCAAAATCATCTACAAAATAGATTGTATCAACTGCGAAAAACACTACATTGGCCAGAGTGGACGACGTCCCCTTCGTCTTCGTATCCATGAATAGAAACTAGACGTCAAAAGACATGATATCCACTCCCTCATACCACTAAATACAGACAACCACGGACATCAATTCGACTGGGACAACCAACGTTCAAATATTAAACAGAGGAAACAACAAGAATGCTAGAGAATTTTCGGAAGCTTGGCATTCCAGTGAATCATCAATCAATAGACACATTGACATAGACAAAATTTATCAACCGATAAGAAAGAAACCTCACACACAAAGTGTTCAAGTTCAAGTCAAGGAAACAATCAGTTCCAATACTTCAAGTAACCTAGAAGGTGTGAAAACACTCAAAAACAACCAATCACGTCCAAGGTCACCACGGGGAGAGATGAATAATAAACTCGTGGAAAAATCTAAAAGCTCACTTCAAATTGAAGTATCCGCTGAAGGAAGATGTCGCCTAGTAGGGGGCGATGAAAGCTTCGCAAATTAACTATCCAGCTAGCTCAGAGAACACAACCGCATCAAAATCAACCACCTGAACTACAAATCTTCTCTATCATATCATTGGAGTTCTCATATTAAAGTATGGCATGAGGTGTGTCAAGACTTTGACCGTTAGTTGCTTTAAGCTAGATTGAAGAAAAATTATAGGCTTAATTAGAATCAACTATACTAATACCAGAGATAATGAAATATACTCCTTTATAGATAAGATTTTACTTTGATAAAATCAAACAGTGGTGTTATGCAGTACAGTAATATTAACTGATGACCACGTTTCGAGCACAGTTTATCATTGCCATTCATAATCATATCAAGGCACTACTCACACAACTTTTTTGCTTCATTTATATACATGAGTGAATTTGATGATTAGACATTTGAATAAAAATCAATATAAGATAATGCCACCCTAATTCCTGCTCTGTTAGGAATCCTACGTAGGGCCTCAGATGTCCCCTCCTTATATGGTATAACAGTAGATGACTTATATTCTCTCTTACTTATGTTATCATTATTAGTTTCAAAAATATTTTTATTTTGCTTCTGACCTTTTCTGATCTTCCTAATGAATTTTATAGGATAGTTATTTAATGCCATCTTACGAACTCACTAAGATAGGACAAGCTCTGTAGGTTAAAGGACCCAGTCGGTTGATCCAATTTAACAAAATAATATAATTTACAAAATACCTTGCAATGACTGTGATTGAGGCCAACTACATAGGTCAAACTAGTAGATCGGGAGTAGTCAGATTGTCAGAACTCAATGACGCACATACCAAGATTGAATTGACTATGGAACATGAAAGTGATGGAAAGTTCCAAATTCCTCGACATTGCCATGCAACGCCTAGAAGATGGTAGTCTTCAGAAGTCAATTTACCGAAAGCCAACTTGGAAAGGACAAAACCTACATTTTAATAGTTTTTGTCCAAATATTTTTAAACGTGGACTAGTCAAGACTCTGTACTATAGAGCGAGGAGATGATGCTCTATAGAGAAATTAGACGAAGAATTTATGTTTCTTGAAAAGATGTTGAAGAGCAATGCTTACTCTCAAAGATTCATTAAAACAAGTACGGAAGATCTGAAGTCTCAAATATCAAACAAATCACAATGGAGAAAAAGCCCATCTACATTCGACTTGATTATAAATTTGAAAACATTGCAGCAATGGTCAACAGAAGACTGAGAATGTCACTAGCCAGAGCCTATCCTGCAGCTAAGGTTGTCCCTTTCTATCGGACAACTTGCTCTTTGATGCAATCAAAAATCGATAGATATTATTCTCATGTTAACTCCAACTGTATATACAAATTTACATGTATCTACGAGAGCAATTACATTGGAAGAACTGAAAGAAGGGCACACCTCCGATTTTCTGAACGTGTACCAAAAGGCCTATGCCTCCAGCTGGGAACAAATGCTTTAAGCAGTGTCATCGCCAGGCATCTCCTTGACATGGGTCATGAGGTGGACGTCGCAAGATCGTTCAAAATTACCAATAGACAAAACAGTTCAATTCTCCTGATGTTTGCCGAAGCAACAATCTCCATCAAGCGCCTGAAACCTGATTTATACGTTCAGAAAGAAGAGGTTATCAGTCTTTCTTTGCCCATCCTGTTAACTGGATATTTTCACCTTCTCTTTCATCTGATTACGTAATGTCGAAAGTTTCTATTGTGTTTGGTCATTATTGTTCGGGATAAAGTGTTTATTATTATTATGTATATTATTACTGTATGCATATATTGATTGATTTTTGTTTAAAAATGAACTGTCTGTGCAAGTATGTTAAAATTGTTTCTGTAGATATACTTAATAATGACTTTGGCCTGTAAGCAGCTGATGAGAAGCCAACGAACGAAATCAACAATGATGGTAGCATTTTATTCTGCACCACAAACTGCTGTTGTTCTTGCTTTATTCCAATTCATTAAGGGGAATAAATGCATGAAATATAAAACCATTTGTTAAAACTTTACGATATATATACTATGGCATAGTTAACAAAATAGAACAAACACAACAGGGAGCAATACTGTAATGTACTGCACTGCACTACAAAATGATACGATAAAGGATACGATAAAAAAAGTTTTGGAGGGAAAACAGGGGAGGAAGAATAAATTTCTCACCTTAAAGGCAAAACCATGCGGTGTAGGTGCACGCATACGTGTCCAACCGCCTGTAGTTGTATACAGCTTCAATGGTCCATCCAAAACCAAGATGCGAATAAGATCTGTCGACTGTGATACATCCATATTTAGAAGAACAAGGAAGAAAGAAAAAAAGAAAGAAAGGGGATAAAAGACAATCATAGTTTTAAAAAAAAGTTTTAATTGAAAGTAGAATACGAAAAAATTCGGTTCACAGTACGTATCATCTACATAAGATTTAATCTTTATAATCCTTATTTAAAATAATCCCAGCGTGTTTAAGGAAAAAAAATGAAAACAAGATCTGTTTTTCTGAACGTTTCGCTGTGTAAGCTGCCACAGCTTCCTCAGCCAGTAGAATTATTCGGATTTTAATAACTAACAAAATATATATAGTCAGAAATTTTACATAAAGAAAGGAAAACAGGAAAAAATTGGATGTATTTCTTTTTCGCATACATAGCGTGGGTTTGAGCTTTTGGATTGGTAGTGCCTTGGCTATGCCCAGATATCCTAATTTTACTCCCTTTGATAGGTTTGATCGAATCTTGTATATGATTTTGAAGGATTTTTCGAATGGCGCTCAGTGTCCTGAATTAACCAGATGTTCTGTCACTGAACTATATACACGTGTTTTCGTTCTCCATTTACTAGCCAGGCTGGATAGTGTTCACGAGTGCGTTTTTCAAGTTTCTAATTTAGAAATTGCAAACTATCTAGGATTCACATGGTTTCATCTGATTCTGAGATGAGGCGAACTGAGTACATTGATGATGAGTTCGGTGTTAAACGACAGAGATGACCGCCCGTTGTTAAGATCACTTGAATATGGCCACCAACCAAACACTACTACTCACTGGTGAGAGTGATGTCTTACTACTTATATCAATCAGTAGTATATTACACACTGAGCTGTAATCTTATTGTACACTACCACAACAAAAAGAAGATACGAATATAAGCGTTATATACACCTAGGTGTGTCTAATTTTGTCTGAAACCTTAAAATAATCATTTCAATGAGTTATCGCGCACTGACGTGAACCCTTTGTTTTCCTCTCTGTTTGGATTGCTGGATTCTTATCGACTGTTAATACTCTTAGTGTATCATTGAATGCATCACTGCATTTTCAAGGTCATTCTAACTGTATATGCATACAGGGTTTTTGTCTAGCATTTCAAATGCTGTTTGAGACAGTAAAAGCTCTCTGATAGACGTCCAGTCTTTTCTTTTGTCTCCACGTACCAGCGGTGTTATTGCTGTTGTTGACGATAATAATAATAATTTGCTTTATTCCAAAACAGTACTTGTGATACAGAATGGAATTCTCAGCATTTCACTACAGTACTGCATCCAGTTTGTACATTAACAATAAGTAAAATTCTAAATTCTAGATTATGGGTAGTCTCAGTTAATTTTGACAACAACATATTAGCATATCGGTAGCAAAGCCAACGTTGAACAGAGTGTTTGAAGGTGTTAGAAAACTAGGTGCTATCATATTTACTGGCATAAGCGGTAACAAAAAGGTCGAGATATACAGAGTGTGAAAGAACGAAGAAGGATGTTTTAAATAGAGTTCGTAAGGAAGAGAGAAACAAAACAGCACATAACAGCAACAAAAACAGAAAAGGAAACGAAAGAAAGAAAACATTGTACCTATAAATGATATGAGTTGGAAAGACGACATCCAATTGTTCTACTGACTATTTAATAAGTTAAAGGTGTCACGCCTAATGCTTTCTTTATCGCACAGAACACGAGCTAAGTAGGGTATGGTTGAGTTTTTGTACTTGCTAGTGCGAGCATATAGTTTTCTATATAGGCTTCTGGTTTTTCCTGATGAGATGCAAGGGGAGAGTTGTGAACGAAGAGGGTGGTGTGAGTTAGGGAGAATGGATTTAGCTCATTTTTCACATGAGTCCAAGTGCCTGCTGTCAACCAGAATATCAACAAGCTGGTTAAGTGGCACGTTGCTTACCCTTCTGACAACCTTTAACATCCTGCGTAATATGTTATAGTCTTTCTTCAGTAGCCCGGGAAAACTAAGGGGGAACAATAGAGAATAATAGGCAGGATGCAAGAGTTAACGAATCGTAGGAGTAAGGGTTGGGTTGGGTTATTCCAGAATGTTTTAACTTCTTGATGTAGAAGGCAAGATGGAATATTTTCTTAGAAGTCGTCAAGATATGAGACGACGAGGAAAGATCAGCAGATAGAATTACGCCAAGATATTTAATTTCCGACTTGGTTTTTATTTCAGTGCCATCTATGTTGCACACTTCGTGAGTGGTAACCAGTTTGTTTAGGTTAGATTTATGCCTAAAGGTGAAATTGACTGTTTGATATTTAGAAGGATTTAAGGTAAGACCGTTTTCCTTGAACCACTGGCTGATTTCCGATAAAAATCCATTTTAGTTTTCAGCAGTCACTTTGACACTTGACAGGCAAAGATCCAGTCAGATCGTGCGATTAGGACAGATTAGCCAGCGCATTAAGTTAATAGTCACTTATAGTCTTCTAGGTGGAAGTTCCGGTCATAATAGTGAGCCTGAAATAAACTTTCTTTGCAGTCATATTCGTGTGTCAATGGGTTCGAAGGTAGAATGTTTGCCAACCACGCAGAGATGATCGGGGTCCGATTCACAGCTGACACACTCCTGAATCTCTTCTAACCGGTAGTAAGCCCAGTGAAGGCGAAAGGTACTACCGAGGCTTGAAGCTTCAACTTGGAAGCCTTATATTCCATTCGGAATGAAAGAAACGCAGTCACACTGAATGAATAGTTGAATAACACTCAATTAACCGCCCATATATACGTTTGTATAGATAAATGCATTCACTTACCGAGAGATTCTTCTTATTCTTATTTGATGTATACAAACCAGAACTTCTTAGAATACAAAGTCGTCGGGACCATGATTTATCACCAGGTTTACGTATAAACAAGTAATCACGCCATTCAGGAAAACCATGACTATCAATATCATTTAACATTGTCTATTGAAAAGAAAAAAACATTTGTGAATAGATGACTACTATTAGTAGTATATAGAAAATAATAGAAAATTATATTACATTAATGAATATTCGCGTAGTCTGGGTTCAACTGGTGTACGATGCACTTCTTGAATTTTACTCGGCAGGTAATAAGCCCGGTAAAAAAGGCGAGGTTAGGCGTGACACTAGGGACTGTATCCTGTGGAGGAATAACACCGTACCTGAAACTTAAAAGTCCAAGCCTTGAAGCCGTTAAACTCTACTCGAAAGACAAGGGCGGAACAAAAACTATACTACGAATATAAGGCCAGTTGAAAACGAAACCAGTTATTAGTATTATTATTATAAAAGAGAACAGGAGATAGGGAATGGCCTCATTATGAAGTATATTATTACAGCATCAGAACGGAGTTGATTCAAATTCACATATATAAAGTACGTTACACCGTTCCTAAAGGATTTCGCTCATATTTTCTTCATACAGCCGAAGCTCTAACCATTCATTAAGACAAAGCCCTCCTGCCGATTGCCTCCAACCATCTAATACCAACAATTCACAGTGCACCGTAATGGCGATCCATCTAGCATGGTGGCAACATTGCAAACATGACTGATAGAATTCAGTCTGCACCGAAGATAGGACTAGACACATTACACTAGTTACTGACTAGTGTGCAATCAAAAATAACCACACAGTAACTCCATCACAAGACAAATCACACGATTCGTGAAAAAGAATGATATACTATTTTGTGCTGGGTCTTATCAAGGAGGTTGAGTGTGAGGTTATCAACCCCATTATATCATCAAAGTAATCTACATTGTGAAGAACAACCTACCAAAGGCAATAAGCTTTCGTCTCCTGGCTGCATTGCTGAAGCCCTAGCCATTCAGTTAGAGGAACTGGAGTTATACATTATTATTGTATTATTATTGTTCCCTTGGGTTCCTAGTGGAACACAGAGCTTCAACTGCACGTCTCCACTTGTTTCTGTCTTCTGCTGTACTTTTCACCTGCATCCATGTTAATCCATACTGTTTCAGCTCCTCTTCACATGATCTCATCCATGTCACCCTTGCACCGACGAACCACTCGTCGCTTTCCTTTCGAGTTCCATTCGAGCGTTGGCCTGACGCGCGATGTCACCCAGCGGCCTCCTCAGCGAGTGTCCAATCCATCTCCACTTTCTCCTGCATATTTGTTGAGTGATTGGTTCTTGTTTTGTTTTGTTTGTTCCCATAGTTTCTTGTTGGTTCTTGTTCTTTCCGGCCATCTGATCTTCAGTATAGAGCAAAGACAGTTGTTGATAAAGATCTCCAACAGGCTGTTGGAAATATCCTTTGTGACACACTGGCCAAGTTTCTGATCCGTATAGAAGAACTGACTGACTTGACGTTTGCATTGAAAATCCGAATCATTTTGTTGTTGATGCAGGCTGAGTGACGAAGATTTCCAGATTGATTTCAGGTTGATGAATGTGTTTCTCGCCTTCCCCACTCTCGATTTGACATCCTCGTCCGTTCCTCCTGTAGTTGAGACAATGCTCCCTAGCTAGATAAGTGAATGAAGTAACCTCTTTCAAATCCCTCCCGTTGATGGTGATTGGCGCTGGATGTTGTTGCTGTTGTTGTTGTTGGTTTGTTATTTTCATAACCTCCGTCTTGCCTATGTTCACCTGGAGTCCTGTCTTTGCTGTTTCTTCGACCAGTTTGTGGGTTTTTGCTTGTAAGTCTTCGATTTTGTGTGACATCAAACATAAATCATCCAGGTCTTCTAGGTTCTTCACGTCGGTCCAGGATATCCCTATCTTCTCGTTTCTCACTGTCTGTCGCATAATCCAGTCGTGCACCACAATTAGGAATATCATTGGTGATGATAAGCACCCTTGTCTGACTCCTGTGTTTACTCCAAACGCCTCACTGAGTTTTCCGTTGTGGATCACTTAACATGTGCTGTTGTCGTACAGCTGTTGAATAAGGTTATACACATACAAAAGAAAATCATTCAACTACTTCTAGTATCATGGTAACAACGGTGTTGATTTATTCTGACTTGATGTTTGTGTGCTTGCTTTTCAAACTTCGTTTAACTCTTGTACTTCGTTTGAACTCTTACATCATTCCTTATTTTCTTTTGTTTCTATGTACATCCTAATCACAACTCACTCATTCAACTATTCATCCTATTACGTAACTGCAAAACACTTATTTAACTTGTTTTATGTGTCGATTAACACTAATAACCACGTTTTTTTCGACAACACATCATCACTACCCTCTTACCTATCTTCACTCCACACCCACCCTGGTTACAATTTGATTATTCATCAGACATTTTGGGAATTTTTTCATGACGTAAACAATAACCTTAACTAATTTTCTTGTCTGACAAAGCTGATGTACACACGTATACAAAAATAATTATATATATAATTACGATTGTACATCTAGCTAAGTGAATGAATTTGCCCCCGGAAAGAGACTCTTCACTGAACTGTGTATTTTTTTCTTCAGAGGTCAAGCTTGTAGCCTTGTGTTCTACTCATAGAGCAAAGGAATGACATGATAAAATAATATCCCTTCTGAAAGGGCAGTCATTTTATTTTCAAAACCGAGACAAGGTAGCTGTTGATAAAATTCAGTGGTAGTCTTTTGGAAAGGCTTTTCGTAAAGTGTCAAATCTTTGAACCACCTTTATGAGTTTACCTGAATCTAAGTTTAAACATAACCTAGTCGGTGACTTCTTCTATACGCCTCAGAAACTTGCAATGCACACTCATCACGAGAAGTATTTTCAAAAGTCTACAAAAGACTTTTGTCAACAGCTGACTCCTTCGCTGGCTGGTTGGCTGATTGCCTCCATATTGATGATCAAATGGCCGGCCGGCCAGCGAGAAAGAATGAGCAACAAGAAACTCTGTCTGGCTGCCGACAAACTAACCAAGAGCCGACCATTCAACAAATATGTAGGAGAAAATGGAGATGGATAGCATGAGCATACTTTGAGGAGGATGCTGAATGACATCGCGCGCAATTCAGGCCATCTCTCTCCTAATTGGAATCGACGAGTGAGTAGTTGCTGCAAGGGTGACATGGAGGAGATTGTGAGGAGGTGAGAGATTAAATGGAATCGTGGACCCAGGCAGCTGAAGAGAAGAGCAGAGAATAGAAGAAAATGGAATTGTGTTGTTGAAGCTGTATGTTCCACTGGGAATAATAATAATGATAAGAATTTGCTGAGATCATTACTATTATCCTTTGACTTCACCATCTCTATATATGAAAGTGGTAAAAGAACACCAAAAACAAGCAGACAGACAAACAATTAAAGAAGAACTAACCTGAATAGCTTCAGCAGTACGGAAGCCTTGTTTATTGTTATCTTCACCAATCCAATACTAAAGAAAATAAAAAGAAGTGGAATTTTTAACAAAAATATAATATACCGAATATTAGCATGATTATACTAGAAATATGAGCCACTCAAAGTGTACACTTTCAAAATGCATCTTTGAACATTATTCAACATGGTCATCAAGAGAGCTATAAAAATCAATTATTAGTTCACCATTTAAGTATCTGGTGAACTCCAGCCACGCAGCTCCATTGGACGCCACTTTTAAGATTGTCTACAAAGTAAAACGGAATGTTTATACGCGTGTCATGTCTCGACACTTATTTATGGTGGAGGCGAGGCGCTAGCGATTCGTCAATAAAACCTCGAAACCCGTATGTGTGTAGAAAAGGTTTACTCAGTTGCTTATTTTACCATGATCTTAACCTTTTTCTACCACGTTTACTTCTATATTTAGGAAGTAATTCAGTATTATCACTCCCAAATGTTCCTTATTTGGGCATCCTACTATTCTCACATCCATCTATTCTCGCCTCCTTCACAATTGTCAAGAGAGCGAAAACTCAACCACCTTATTTCTCCGCATGATCTCCTCTGTGTCACACTCACACCGACAACCCACTATTTGGATTCCACTCGAGCGACATCCTGCATTGCGCGCGATGACATTCGGCAGTCTGCTCCTCAAGGTATGCACACTCCATCCACCTTCATTTTCTCCTACACATTTGTTGAGTGGTCGGCTCTCGCCTGTTGACTTGTTCGCCGCTAGCCAGAGTTTCTTGTTGCTAATTCTTTCTGGCTGGTTGGCCGGTCGACCGGACATTGGATCTTCAGTGTGGAGCCAACCAGTTAGCCATTGAAGGGGTAGGCTATTGATAAACGTCTTCTGTGGACTACTGGAAATGCTTTTCGTGACGTGTGCACAGGGCAGTTTTCTGACCCGCATAGAAGAAATGACTGGCTGAGTGACTGACTTGACATTTGTGTTGAACAGAATCCGAACTTATCTTGTTGTTTATGCTGGCTAACTGCCTGGCTGGATGAGTGAGTGCGGAAGATTTCGAAACTGGTTTCATGTCCGTTGATGATGGCTTAACTCACCTTTCCGATCCCCACTGTCTGGCCGGCTGGCTTTCACATCTTCATCCGCTGTGCTGGCCTGTGGTTGAAACCGTGCTTCTCAACTAGATAAGTGAAGACAGGAAGCAACCTCTGTTAAATCTCTCCCATTGGTGGTGGGTTATTGGTGCTGGCTGTTGTTGTTGTTGTTGTCGCTGTTGATGATTGGTTGGTTATCTTCATCACCTCCGTCTTCTCTACGTTCACCTGAAGTCTGTCCTGTCTTCGCCAGATTGTAGGTTTTCGCTTGTAAGTTTTCGAGTTTGTGTGACATTAGACATATATCATCTGTGAAATCCAGATCTTCTAGAGTCTTCTCATCGGTGGTCCAGCGTATTCCTGACTCCTCGCTCCCCGCAGTCTGGCGCATAATCCAGTTCACAGCAATTAGGAATATCATCCGTGGAGATAATAAAAGGCAACCAGCTTGTCTTACTCCTGTATGCACTTTGAACACCTCGCTGAGTGAATTTTTCATTGTGGATCACTCGACGTCTGGCACTATCATATAGCTGTTGAATGAGGTTGATAAAGATTTGGGTACTGAACGTCATAGTTTTGAAGCAGCTTCCAAATTACTTCTATGTCAATGCTGTGTGTTGAAGGCCTTTTCGAAGTCGATGAAGTTGTTGAGGTAGAGTTTTGACTGCCATTCTATGCTTTGCTCTGTGATGACGATGCGTAGAGTTGCAATTCGATCAGCACATGATTTGCCTTTACCGAATCCAACTTGTTCCGAAGGGTGGAGTTCTGTATCTAATGCATCCTTTATTCTCTCCAGGATGGCGTGGACAAGGCGAAGATTCCACGGTAGTTATGCAGAGGTCTTCTTTGGTTGCTTGACAAGGTGGCCAGGTGGCACTTTTCCTTCCTTCCAAACCTTTTTCAATAATGGTGTGAGCACATCTGCCACAGTCTCTGCGTCCGTTTTCAGTACTTCGGGTTGGGGGAGAATTCCGTTCGTCCCTGCTGCCTTTCCGGTCGGCATTCAGTAGCTTGATCGCATTCAGGATTTCTGCTTCCGTTGGAAGATTGGTCTCCACTGGCAATTCTGTGACCAATTGGTGACCAATATGTGCACTTATTACTGTCCAACTGAAAGTCAATCGCGATTCTAAAAAGCTCACTAGTAACATTTCTGAATACACACCCCTACTTAGTATCGGTTTCGAATATTTTAGAGAGTAGCTGCGTCAATTTCTGTTTAACTGACGAATATCAGCAGGCACGAAGCCTAGGTAGGAGGTAGGTCTTCCTTGTTGATTGTCTAAAACATTTAAGAAACGAATGTGATGCAAGTCATCTCTCTCTCTCTAACTAATAATTATGCATCAGTCAAGCGTATACTAACTACCATTAGACATTGTTCTGCCTCTCAGAATACTGATTAGTGATAATGAAAGACACAGTTTAAATTGTCTGTCAGACAAACAAAATGGAAGGTATAGTTTAACATAATTATCTCTCATTTTCTTAATTGAAAGAAGAACTATCTAGCTAGCTAGTTAATTAGTTTGTTAGTTAGCTAAGTGAAGCATGAATTCTGTAACGGATCGATTATGATAAACATTTTGAAAGCAGGAAGAGGAAATGAGGTTTCAATTTTCAAGTTTTTCGACGAACTGACTGGCTAACTGACTGACTGACTTCAGTTAGAGAACTATTGAAAACCAGCATAAAGTAATGGACAACGTTTTCGCCCTTGTTTGAGACTCTTCATCAGAATGTATTCATGACCTCTTTTGGAGATCGAACTCAGGATCACTGGGGCACGATCCAATGAAGAATGCAGCATTTCGAACTTCTGCTTTGTAACATGAAAGTCCTGGCGGTTAGATCTCCAAGGGTGAAACCATAGGTGAGTAATGATGAAGAGTTACAGATTGGGACGAAATAGATATCCAGTACTCCCTGGTTCTCAGCAGGCTCTCTAATTGAAGCCAATTCGTGATCAAAATTGATATCAGTCAGATCCTTGCAATCTAACACTTGATAATTTCAATTTTTATCTATCGCCAGTGACTACAAATGGGAATCCTCAAGGTGCACGAGCGTTTCATCCTTCTTAGGAGTCGTCGATAATATATACATCACTATCTCAGTGAATGATAAGTCTTCTGACACACTGAAATTACAAATTCCAACATCTCTATCGTTTCAACAGCCTAAATACTTATCAGGGAATAAATTCACTAGGCTAGAAATCTTGATGATCCGAGGGGGAACTAGTATTTTTCATGTCAATGAAAAATGCATTTCCAACAGGCTATTGCAGGACATTTTGTGTGTTAAAGTTTCTCCAGCGGTTTGATAGGTTTAGAGGTGTAGGGTTGCTAGTCCTAGGCCTAACCTTCCGCCATTTCCGGGCTTGGAATCGGCGAGGATTAGGCATATATTGAGGAGACCATCGAATGACACCGCGCGCAATGCAGACCATCGGTCGAGTAGAATCCCATTGGGAAGCGAAGAGTGGGTCATTGGTGCAAGGGTGACATGAAGGAGGTCGTGAGAAGAGGAGTGGAGAGGTTGTGGGCAATCGTGGTCCAAACTGAAGAGGACGTCAGAAGATAGGACAAAGTGGAGTATGTTACTGAGGCACTACGTTCCACTTGGACCTCAACGGAATAATAATAACTGTAGACCTTCATCAACAACTGCCCTCATCGCCGACATAATATTGGAGATCGGATGACTGGCTGGTGGGCCGGTCAGAAAGGATAGCCAATAAGAAATTTGTCAGTACAGAAAACCAGCCCGGTGGGTGCGTACTGATGAAAAGTCCCAAACTAGGACGAAATAGCTGTCCAGTACTCCCAGCTTTTCCAATGGTTCTCTAACCAATGTCAGCTCATGATGAAGTCCTGTAACCAATCAACCAAATCCCTACAAACCAATACTTGAGTATCAATGAGACGCTCACTGGCAACTGGCCGTATTCAGGTAGGTAGTTACCTGGGGTTCTAGTGGGAAGTCATGACCAGTAGGGTGCAGCAGGTTGGGTATGAGGACAAACACTCGCCGAAGAAATTAGCTAGCGGTTGCGCTATATCGTGAATTGGCAGAAGTTAGAATTCATGGGCCATTGGATCGAGTCCGAGTATTTTAATGGTCTACGTGTTCGCCTTGTAACCAGAAGCTCCTGGGTTTGAACCCTGGTGGTGGTTGCATACTGATGAAGAGCCCCGAACTAGGACGAAACAGCTGTTTAGTACTCCAAGGTTTTCCAATGGTTCTCTAACCAATGTCAGCTCATGATGTAATCCTTTAACTAATTATCTATCACCCGACAAATATGCTTAAACAAATGAAGTTGAATTGAACAAACACACTAAGGAGACAAGTGAGTTTCCTTAGATGTCAAGCCCTCCAGTACAACCCGATGTGGTTGGGAGACAAAGGGTGATCAGTCCTGAAGAATTTTAGACCAGTTTTCAGAACGAAACATTGTTGATATTTTCCTACGAATACAATTTATATACATTCTTATTGAGTGGATGGAGGTGATTAGTAGTAAGCCCTGGGATCGATGGTTTCGATAGTTATTGCCGCTCGTTAGCATTGGATGTCAGCAATTCAAGTCACAGGAATTCCAGTTTGTTTTTAATATACTGACTCAATTCACTGAAATACACTTTTCTAAAAACATCATTCAATAAGTACATCATACTGCTATTCCGTTGACAGCAGCTGGTACTGGAATTCAAGACATGCGTTTCGTCCGATTCGGGACTCATCAACTCGGTGGACGTGAATCTTCCAATTAGTAATGCCATTACCAATGATGGGTATCAACAAGAGTTTCTGAATAAATAGTTTCACTTAATATATTATATAATTCAAATATTTTTTTAAAAAAATGAATGAGTTACTTAAATATCAGTGTAAATTAAAAGTCAGTATGAACGAAGAATATTCTTTTCAGTAGTTTCTCCTCTTCAGGTTCTTACAATTATAAAATATGCAATATTTGTTGTCGTTACAATAATGATAGCCAGTTAGTGATGAGGTGGATACATTTTCGAAGTAGAACAACAGATTAGTAGTTATAGGGTGTCAAAATAAATAGTCGTATTTGTGTAACAAACTTCGTGCTAGGCTGAAATCGATTACAAAATATTTCGGTGAAATGGGAGACAATGGTGGCGATTAGTCCTCGTAATAGATTTGTAGAGTGTCGGGTAGGAAAACTGACAAGTCAGTTCAAGGTTATAAAAGGTGTCAGGTGAGTGAATGGCTAGTACAAAGTGGTATGTATTAAACAGGAGGAGATAGTAAGACTTCAATGAGAGGTTCATAATGAAATAACGAACGTGTGAAATGAAACAGGTGGAGGCATATATTGAGAAAAGAGATAATATCACTAATAATAAGTCTGGATAGTATAAATGGAAAATTCGATAGCAATGAGAGAATGAAGGGCATAAGTTATGACGAATAATAATAATAATAGTTGTAATAATAAGCAAAGAAATAGTAAAAGCCAAGAAGGTTTAGGGGAAGAAGCACTCTTGGTGAAAAGAAGAATCATCAATCCAAGTTTGGTCACGGTAGGAACAGAGTCTGGACGTGTTCTTTTTGGATAGAAAGTTCCGCATTAATCGATATTATTGCAACAGCTTCAGCTGTGTGTAGCAGACGTAAGAGAACTGTACGTTATAACGACTCCGGAATTCGGTAAATAACCCTGAAAGTTGTGTTGATTTCAATGCTATATCCAGTATCGACCAATTGCAGCAGTATCGAGCTTTTTATGCACTTAGTTTCCCCAGCCTAATCAGGCGCCCTATATAATTTGAACCACAGGAACATTCTACGAATCTGTTATGACTAATCACCACGACAGTGTCTCCAATTTCACCGAAATATTTTGAAATCGATTTCAGCCTAGCACGAAGTTTGTCACACAAATACGACTATTTATTTTGACACCCTATAACCACTAATCTGTTATTCTACGTTAAAAAAATGCATCCGCCGCATCATTAACTGGCCTTTATTGTAACGACAACAAATATTGCATATTTTATAATTGTAAGAACCTGAATTGGAGAAGGATTTATTGAAAAGAATATTCTTCTTTCAAATTGACTTTTAATTCATGCGATATGGGAATATTTCACACTATTAAATCATATCAATATAAATAAACGTTTTTTTTTATAAAAAAAACTTACATCCGGTGATTCAACAAGACCAAAGTGATCAGGTCGTTCTTCAAAAAAGATCATATTTTGACTTTTTGTCGGCCAAGCCAAAATACAATCGGATAAGAGATCATGTTCTTCAAAAACTCGTTCTAAAATATTCAAAAAATGGAAAGATTAGAAAATGAGTTTATGATTATCATAAAATTATAAGCCAAAAAGTGAGTCTCCAACTGAACCTGAAGTCAATCAGATCCCTGTAGAAAGACACTTTGAATTTAATCTGGTGTTCACTAGTGACGGACTCACTGCAGGATGAAGTCCGCTAAAGTACCAGTTGGCAGTCGCGACCAGCGAGGTCCATCAAGTTTTGAGTGAGGACAGATACTATCGAATGATTTTGGCTGGCAATCAAACCGCATATCACAGGTCATCAGAAGTCAGAATTCATGATTTCCATCCCAACGGGTGAATAGTCAGGGAGCTCGCCTCATAACCTGAAGGTCCTAAGTTCGATTCCTGGTGAAGGGTTATGGGTGTGTACTGTCGAAAGGTTCAAAACAAGGATGAAATAACTGTTCAGTAGTCCGTGCTGGTCTTCAATGAGTTTCTGAATGAAAACAATTGGTGGTCAATCTTGAAATCTTCATATTAACGTCAGACAGTAAAAATTGGTGTAAGTTTTTCTGCAACCCTTACAAGGGAAATCCGGTCAACATGTACACTGTAGAAACAGGAATAAATTTTTTTAAACCAGGGTTTCAAACAGTTGCAGGATAGATCAATTAGTAATATACATTGAAGAATGTACTTATGCCTACATGCACTACTTTTTCTGATAGAACGGTGAAATCTAACTAGACATACAAACTCTTCGAATATCAGATCACAACTACTTTAAAAAGCTGACCCTTAGCAAACAGTAAATTTCGTTTTCTTTTCCAAAAATGAAAAAAATGTGAAATTACATATATATTTATGTATATATATATGTCAGGGAAAGTCGTCCACTTCATTGCTTACTGAGGCTGGTGTTCCTTAAGGCGCTGTCCTTTCTCCTTTTCTGTTTTCTTTCTTCTTGCATGACTTGCCTCACTCTGATGATGAAATGAACTTTTTTAAGTATGCCGATGATCTAACTATTTCAATGTCTGTTAACTCTCAACTTGACTGTATTAAGATTAACAACTTTCTATCAGAAATTAGCAAATGGTCTTCGTCTAACGGCCTTAAACTCAACCCTTCCAAATGTCAGACTGTTAATTTCAGTTTCCGATGTAAACGAAAGTTAAATAAAGCCGTTGGTTCCTATGACCCTTGCAAAATCGATGATGCTGATATAGAAACCAAGTCTGAAGTTGAGTATCTTGGATTAATTCTCTCTTCTGACCTATTCTGGTCCTCATATGTCTTAGCGATTTCTAAAAGAATATTTCGTTTGACTTTTGACATTAAAAAGTTAAGGCACTCAGGCATAACTCAACCACTCCTCTTACAGTTTATCAACTCGTGTATTTTACCTATTCTTCTTTACTGTTCACCATTATTCTTTCCTGGATTGATTAAAAAGGACTATGTCATACTTCGTAGAACTCTGAAGACTGTCAGTAGGACGAGTGGTATCCCATTGGGCCAAATCGCTGACATTGTCACTGATAGGCATTTGACGTCATGCAACAAATTCGCTAGAGGAATTTTGTCAGACTCTGAGCACCCACTCTACCAGCAGCTCCAACCTTTTCCGAAGACTTTATGCGCGTACATCTAAGTATAAAAATTCCACTATACCATATTTGGCACGTACTTTATGTGATGAAAATAGCGTCAGAAATGAACTAACTAACCTTCTTAGCACCACTACATAAACCATTTCCTTCACCCTTAAAGCGTCATACTTTATTGTTATTGTATTTCTTATATTTATAATCCTCTCAATTTCTTGTTTTTATTTGCTTATTTTCTCAACAGTGTGAACATCATTTAAGCTGTGTAATAACTGTTATTTTTTGTCTTTCCCCTCACCCCACTGTTACATCAACAGAACATTAGACTCAATAATCTATAACATGCTAAAGTTTCCAAACTGAATCGACAATACCGTTTGAAACAAACTCAGTGTTATTATTATTGTTATTATTACTGTTATATCTAATAATTATGTCGTAAATGTGGACAAATTCCTCCGATTAATTTTGTTTTAATTTTTAATTTTATATACATTTTGAGTCAATCAGATGCAATATTGTGACAAATGCTGAGAATTCCATTCTGTATTATAAGTACTATTTTTGGAATAAAGTAAATTATTATTATGATTATAAATTAGAGAACCATTGGGAAACCAGTAGGCAGTACTGGACAGCTGTTTCCGTTTTCTTAGTATAGAGCTCTTCAGTAATACTCATTCATTGTGGTTAAAATCTAGAACCTTCCGGTTACAAAGTGAGCTCATAAACCATTGAGCCACTAGAATCTGATCCACTGGCCCATGAATTCCAAATTCCGCTAATTTGTTGTCAATTACTCCCTGTGGCTGGTTTTCCAATGGTTCTCTAACCGGTATCGACTAGTGGTCAGGCCGGTAACCAATCAAATCCCTGCAAATTAACACGAAATATATATATATATATATGAGGAAAAAAACTATAAATAAAATTACACCTGTCATAATTTCTGTCTAGCTAGAGAAACTTTAAATTTCCAGACAGATGGATATCAACACTAATAAAATAATTAATAAGCAATTAATTGAATTATGGAATACATGCCGAAGAAATTCGAAAATAATAATCGTGTCTGTAAACAAAGAAGCCTTTATATGTGTGAATGCAATTCAAAGGCGATGTACCAAGTGAAATAACAACCAACAAGTGAAGAGAATCGATCGAAAGAACTTTTAATGCCCATAGAGCTGAAATTCTTATTTCCCTCACCACCCGTCATGATTCATCAACAAAAATACAAAGTACGCACTCACTGGGGTTCGAACTCAAGACCTTTCGATTACAAGCAAGCAAACTCGTATACCATTCAGCCACTTGAACCCAGTTCACTGGCCAGTTCGTGAATTCTAACTTCTACCAATTTGTGATTTAACACCAACCAATGTCATCGGCGGAAACTCCATCTTCATACTTGAGTGGATGGATCTCATTGGTCACGACTTCTCACTAGAACTCATAAAAGCAAATCTAATCCTCAGAAACCAACTCTTGAAAATTAATATGATGCTCGATAGTGATTTGCTGCAGAACGGAGTTTCCTGGACTTTTAGTGAGAAGTCTCGACCAGTGAGGTCTCTCCATTCAAGTGTGAGGATGGATGTCTCACCGACGACATTGGGTGGTGGTCACACCAAAATCAAAAATTGGTAGAAGTTAAAATTCATGGACTGGCCACTGAATCTGATCCCATTAGCTGAATGGTATACGAGCTTGCCTGGTTGTAACTGGAATGTACTGGGTTCGAGCCCTGGTGGTAGGTGCATTATGCCGAGGATTCCTAAAACTAGAAGTACAAAGTACCTAGGCAGGCCGCCTATTACTATATCTATTAATTTAACATGCTACTGTGGAGTAAGTCATATTTGCCATTGCTGGAATGTTTCTGCTCAAGAACACCTAAAAATGTAGATAAATAAAGGTGTAGTAAAAACCACTTCTTGCCTCTCTAAGCTAAGCTCATATGTGGCTCAAGGGGCCACAGTGGATAACATGCCTATGCATCAAAGGTTCAGTGGTAGACACATTTGGCCCGGGGTTTGATCCCGGCCGACGGACTTCTAAATGTTACTAAGGCTGTAGTAAGGCTGAGAGAGAGAGACTTCCAACCCCAACTACGTAAACGAAAACTTCAAAGCTCTAGTTTGAAGCATTGTGTTTCACTCGGAACCCAAAGGAATTTTTAAAAAATCCCCACCAAAAGTTCGATTTTAGATCATCCGGTCAACCACGCCATAAAGCTAATAGTGAAGCATCTTTTTCTATCATCTATCGCCTACCAAATAAATTACCAGAGATCTTTAGGTATTGAATACTCCAGAGAGTAAAGGTTCAAAATAAATGAATAAACACACCACCGTTTGCTACCCTGGCTTACTACGGAATCTATAAATTCATAAAAACTGTTTTGCTGGTGTGATAAAGACAATGTTTCAACGGAATATTATTTCCTCACAAATTCCAACAGTTCAATACTGCATTAGGAACAAGATACTACGTATTTTTGAACATTCTATTTCATATATATATATATATATATATATATCGCTGCCTGCTGACAAATAAAAGGCCAATGGTATGCAGTTTTTGAAGAAGGAGACGTATGGATCTTTTTGCAGGACTTAAAGGCTGTTGTACAATTGAATGGCGTTCGAGATCTGTCAGCGAAAAGGCTGTTACTTAGAACGACGGCAGCATATGACAGTGTGAGGCGAAACACCGACCAACACATGCCAGGTTCAAACGAACTGCTTCCAAAGTGGGAAGGACCATACACGGTCACCCATGAGACGGGGTCACGCATATACGATCAGAAATGCAAACAAAGAGAAGCTGGTGAACGTTAGCGATCTCCAGAACTGGATACAGCAAGGTAAGAAAACAAAGACGCCAGAACCAAGATGACTAAACCCACTTCAGTCGAAAGTATTTGACGGTGGTGGGGGATGAGTGTGGTGGTATTGTGATGAGAGCTGTCTACTAGCCAAATTGGTAGACAGTAATTTACGTCAGTATTTACGTTCCCAAGATTTGTCGTGAGAAAATATGAACAAAGACTGATTAAAAACCGACCACAGCAGACTTTGCGTAGGCGGATACAGTTAATATATAGATGATGTGACATTCAAGAAACAGTCACAAAGAGATGAAAGATTAACTTTACGTGAGAAACAACCAATCGGAAGACTGTGTTTGTTTGCTTAAGTATCCATAGTAATGTACATGAAATATATAAATATGCGTTGATTTCCTTAATAAACGATCTGTTGCCTGACCCTTGTCTTCTGTTGTAACAGTATGATATAGACATTGTGTTTCAACGGTATATTATTCTCACATATTCCAACAGTTCAACACTCCATTAGCAACGGAATACTACATATATATACTTGAACATTCTACTTCATGTCGTTTAATGTAAGCCAAAATCACACGCTCAGTGACTGTAAACTATCTATATATCGCTGTTACACTGTGACAGGATTTCATCGTGAGCTGATATCAGTTAGAGAACCAATGGAAAACCCGGGAATACTACACAGCTGTTTCGTCCTAGTTTCAGACTCTTCAGAAGTAAGCACCCACCACAGGTGTTCGAATCCAAGACCTGCCTGTTATAAGGCGAGCTTGTAGACGATTTAGTTCATGAATTCCAACTTCTACCAATTCGTAATCTATTAACAATCTATTCGCCTATACCAGTTCGAATTTCGATGTCAGTTAATCGATGTTAATTAAAAAACACCTATGTTGTCAATAACAATACTTTTTTAACTATTATGGATGTTATTATTATTATTGTTTCCTTTAATTCCTAGAGGAACATAGGGATTCAGCCGTACGTCTCTATTGCGTTCACTTCTCTGCTAGAGTCTTCACCTGGCTCCCACACGTTTTCATCTCCTATTCACATGACCTTCTCCAAGTCACTCTTGCACTGACGACCAACTCACCGCTTCCCTTTCGAGTTCCACTTGAGCAATGGCTTGTCTAGTGATGTCACTTGATGCATTGTTTCCTCAGAGTATGGCAACCAATCCATCTCCACTTCTTCCTGCCTATTTGCTTCACAATCGGTTACTGGTTGGTTCGCTCATTGCCAGAGATTCACCCCTGTTGCTGATCTTTTCTGGCCGCCAACTGATCTTGAGTATTGAGCAAAGACAGCTAGCTGTTAATGAAGGTCTGTAGTTTGTTTGAGATGCTCTTTATGACGTGCAGTGCAAGTCTCTGATCCGTATAGTAGCACTGAATTTACATTGGAGTCAAAAATCCGGATCTTATTTTCATTTTCATGTTGAGTGCTGTTGACCTCCACACAGACTTGAGAGTATTGAAAGCTTGTCTTGTTTTGATATCCGCATCAGTTGTATCCGCCTGTAGTTGAGACGATGCTTCCCAGGTAGGAAAGAGGTTGTTTCTTTCAGGTTCCCCCCATTTATGCTGATTATTGTGTTGTTGTTGCTGTTGGTGTTAGTGTTGACCAGTAACCTTCATCACCTCTGTCTTCTCTATGTTCACCTGAAGTCCTATCTTCTCCGGATGCTTCTTCTGCCAACTTGTTGCTTTTCACTTGCATATCGTTCAAATTGTGCTAAATCAGACATATATCATCGGCGAAGTCCAGATCCTCCAAGTTTCTTATGTGAGTCCATTTTATGCCTGTTTCCTCATTGCCCGCTGTTTGTTGCATTATCCAGTCTACTGCAATCAGGAAAATCATTGGAGATAGTAGGCAGCCTTGTCTTACTCCCGCCTTCACCTCGAAGGGTTCCGTAAGTTTCCTGTTGTGGATTACTTGGCATGCAGCATTGTCGTACAGCTGTTGGATGAGATGTATAATTGTTGGCGGCACCCCGTAGTAGCGAAGTAGTTTCCAAAGCACCTCTCGATCGACACTGTCAAAGGCCTTTTCAAAGTCGATGCAGTTGAGATAGAGAGCTGACTACCATTCCAAACTCTGTTCAATGATAATCCGTAGTATGGCGATCTGATCAATGCATGACTTGTTTCTCCTGAATCCAGCCTGTTCCGGTCGAAGTTTCCCATCCATGGCGGCGTGTTTGATTCTCTTCAGGATGATGCGGCTTAGTTTTTTGCTTGGGATAAACAGGAGCATAATTCCGCGCCAGTTCTTGCATTGACTTAAGTCTCCTTTCTTTGGTGGTTTCAATAAGTATCCTTTCTTCCAATCCTCGGGCACTTTGCCTTCTTCCCACACCTTCTCCAGTAGTGGCGTCGTCAAGTCCGCTGTTGTCTCTGGGTCTGATAAAGAAAAAGTTATCGAAAGGAATATTCTTTGTGCACAAGTAATTAATCTTTCAAAATATAAAATGGATTCTTGATGTTATTCATTTAACAGTTACCATCCAGTAGAATGTATAACTTCTGCTTCACTTCAGTTTAAACTTATCAGTCAGTGGAATGTCCTTACATTTCAGAAGTTGATGTACAGCGATTCAGTACTTACTATGTCGAACATTACTCACTGAGCTACTGAACAACGATCCATTTTGATTGCATTAACAATCAACAGAAGAAAATCACAAGTGAGAACAAGTAAACAAGCGAAATGTCATAGTATGATCGGCTAGGAATACTATCAGTCATTAGCAATGCAGGTGTGGCTGGCTGAAGAGTCGTAAATAGGACAAAATGCACAACCAAAATGAATGTATATATACATTCATTGGTAGTGTTATTAGCTGTTAATTCACCTAAAATTATTTGTGATAATGTTTCTAAGAATTTATATCCATTTCACTTAATATTGAAACTAATTGTAAGGTTCTTTTTTCACAAACCAATGAGTAACATACGTCTATTTCGTGAATGTCATTTATATTATCTGACTGGTTGAACTTTAATGGGTTGAATAATAGAGTTTGAATGATTGGGTTGTTTGAGCGGGGTCGAACTAGCTAAATTCCAAATGAACTTGGCCCCAAACTACCATTCTACGTTCAGATCGGTCCGATCCAACTAACATAGTGGAACACAAGGCTTCAGACACCTTTTCTGAGTTTATAGTGGAGTAGAGTTGTTAATCTAACATCTAACCTTCTAACTTTCCCAGAAATTGGAGGCGCATCCGCCAGAAATCGAACCCAGAACCTCCCACCTGACTGGTTAACATTCCTACCATTGAACGGTAGACGTCGTCACGACGCATAACATATCAATAATAATAATAATAGCTTTATTCCAAACAGTATTTGTGGTACAGGTATGGAATTTTCAGCGTGCATTACAATATTGTATCTAACTACCTCATAAATTTTATAAGATTTTAAAAATAAAAAGCAACAACAACAAAAATAAAAAATAAAAATAAAATAAGTAAAAAAGAACAGTATTGCATTCACATTTTAAACAATGCACCACAGGATATGAAATATAAAATTAGTGTGTAATAGAATATGTGAGCAACAATATAATAGTAACAAAGAAAGGAGAACAAAAGCTAATGGGAACTATTTGTTAGAGTGCCGCAGTAAGTTGGTCGTGTCATACCTAACAGTTTTCTCATCACATAACAGCTGTGCCAGATAAGGTATTGTGGAGCTTTTGTACTTGGTAGTCCTAGCATATAGCTTCCTATAGTTGTTTCTAGTTTTACCAGATGAAATGCAAGGAGAGAGGGTGTTCGGGGTCTGACAATATAGTATTCGCTAGTTTCTTACATGACATTATATGTCTATCCACAATAGTGTTAACCAGTTGGTTTAACGAAATCCCACTTCCGTACTAACAGCTTTTATTGCCTTACGCAGCAAAGCAAAATTTTTCTTAATTAGTCCAGGAAAGATTAATGGGGAGCAGTAAAGAGGGATGGTTAGAATACAAGAATTGACAAACTGAGAAAGCAAAGACTGCTTTATACCAGACTGCCTTAATTTCCTAACGTAGAACGTTAAGCGAAACATCTTTCTAGTAACTAGCAAGATGTGAGAGGACCAGGAAAGATTGGAGGAAATACTCAGTCGAAGGTACTTGACATTAGATGTAGTTTCAACCTTTATGCCGTCAATGGTAGTGGGACTGTGTGAGCTAGCTAGTTGTTGTAGGTCACATTTTCGTCTGAAAGTGAAATTTACTGCCTGACATTTAGACGGATTCAGCTTAAGACCGTTTGAAGAGGACCACTGACTAATTTCCGAGAGAAAGTAATTTAATTTGGAACAGTCTGACTGAGAGTTGACAGGCATGGAGACAGAGAGGTCATCCGCATACTTGACAAAAGTGGCTACATCAGAATGGGGCAAGTCATGTAAGAAAAGAGAAAACGGAAAAGGAGAAAGAAAAGCACCTTGAGGAACACCAGCTAAAGTAAGTGAGGTAGTGGAGGACTTTCCATTGTAGACAGTGTACTGCTTCCTATCAGAAAAATAGGAATACAACCACTTGTTTGTGCAGCTCTCAGTCTGTGTTGAGGCAAGCTTACTTAGCAAGAGAGGCCTAGGTATAGAGTCAAATGCAGATGTGTAATCAAGGAAGGCACACCGAACGTATTTAGCTCCTCTATCTAAACTAGAGCTGGCATGCTTTATTACATGATAATACTCCGTCCGAAGACAGAGCTGAAAAAAATGAGATAAGACTCATTGTATTGTGCCTCCCCACGGAAATCTTTAGTAAAAGGCGAAAGATTTATCCGCAAATGAGGAGACACCAGAGTTATGTGCGTCGGTGGCACAGTGGTTAGGACTCTCGCCGATCATGCACATGGTCCGGGTTTCGATCCCCTGCCGACGCACACCCGATATCTATGGTTGGCCTGTAAATTTGGGCTACCGATATCCATGCTGAAAATTCCATACTTGTACTGAAAATATGGTGTGGAATCAAGCTGTAAATCAAAATAAAAAAATAAAATAAAAAAAAAATAGAGACTATATTATCATATAGAACAACAGCGGCATCTAAGGTACACCTACTATGTTTATAAGCAAACTGGTTGGGGTCATTGAAAGGCTTTAAAGAGGGTTCAAGATTAAGTAAAATAAGTCTTTCCATAACTTTTAAAAAAGGTGAGGTAATAGCAATCGGTCGAAACTTAACAGTAGGTTCACTTGTTGATTTAGGCACTGGAACAACCTTGATATTTTTCCATGAGTCAGGAATAATACTTTTGGAAAAAGATTCATTGAAAATGTCGGTTAATGGGTAACATAAGATGTCAGCACACTTCTCACATCAATTAGCATAATTCCATTTAAAGTCATCCAAACAAAAAAACAAACAATGAAACTTACCAATTTTTAAAGCTGGAACTTTCTCCACCAGTGCTAAGTGTATTGAAGATTGTAAAAAGTTCTTCTCTATCATCATACTGGCGACTTCACCAGCCGTCATATGATGATCAATTAGAATAGCTTTAGTTGTTTTATCCGGACGAAACACGCGTACAACCAGCTAAATATATTCAATTGAAAACATAAACAAACGAAAAGATGAATACAAATCAGATTGTGACGTTATAAAATAGAATAGAATTCTTAAAAAGAATGATGCGTGAAAATCAATAAGTACTCATTTCCTTACGATCTGAGAGGTACAATGAATTTCAAGCTTCTTTTTCAAGTTTCACGAAGAGTTTGTGTTACTTTTTATGGTAATGAGGGTGTTTGCCTCACGTTAAACCTTCCCACTTTTATGTGTGAGATCTAGCACTGTTTCCTCTAGGAATCGAATCCAGATTATATGTGCATAGTTCAACCACTGAACCGATAACGTAGGGAAAATCAATTTTCAGTACGGTGAAACTAATATCCATCGTTACAGGATTTCATCATCAGCTGACATTGGTTAGAATACCATTGGAAAACCGGCCAGTGAGTACTAGAGAGCTCTTTCATCCTAATTCTGGACTCGTCGTCAGTACGCACCCACCACACGGGGCGCAAAACCAAGACCTTCCGATTACAAGAGAGTTCATAGACTATTAGGCCACTGGGACCCTATCCGATGGCCAGTCCAGGATGCAGCGCGATCCCTGGCCAATATCATCGGCGTGTTTTTGTCCTCATTCCCAACCGGGTGGACCTTACTGGTCACAACTTCTCACCAGAACTCAGGTAACTACCTATCTGAATGTTTAGGTCCTCTGAACAATGTCAAGCTCATGATGAAGTCCTGTAACCAATAAAATCCCTGCAAACCAATATTTGAATAATGTTCACAGTTGGTACATGCATTTAGGTGACCTATATTACATTTCCTTTAATATCTTTAACTATGTATATCAGTTTACGTGTAGCTGCTTTGGCAGCAGAACTATGTTTTGGAGAAAGAATTGCATTATGCCAAAACATGACGATTTATTGGATCTAAAAGATCACAAAGAGTGAATGCATCTATGCTGCAATAAGAATGATTTTAGGGTCATACAGTAACGAAAGAAGACAAGAGCGAGACAACATATCATTTATTGAGAAAATCAAGAGATAATTATAGATTTTTATGTAAATTATTACTAGCGCTAATGTAATCAGAGAAGCAACGTCTTCTGACTGGTTGTTTCCTTGCTCAAGGTTATTCTGTCATCTCTTTGTGGTTGTTTCCTAGAAAGTCATGCCAATATTATCTGCGAATCATATTTGCACACGTTAAGTCTGCTGTGATTGGTTGGTGAGTTCCTCAAGGTTAAGCTTTGTTATTAGTTTTTTTCTCATGACTCCGATTCGGGATGTGAACATTGACGCAAAATGGTGTTTTCTACAATTTTTGCTAGTAGACAGCTCTCACCACAATACTACACTAACCGTCTCAAGCCATTGGCTTTTATAGTATCATCAATCACATCAGTATACAACACACACACAGTATACAACTCTCTGCATCGCTTAAACAAACTGTAAAAGACTTCATGAATTAATGTCATGCCTTGGTTTGACCATCAACACCACAGCCTAACTCTTTTACAACCTAATCTGATGGTTAGCTAACATTGCTGATCGAGGAGGTTTAGCACTACACCACACATCTGTCCTATTCATCTCAATCGATGTAGCTTAACAATCAAATGGACTAACTTTCCCTCCTTCCCACATCGACATTGAAAAGGCCTTCAACAGCGTCGATTGAGAGGTGATTTGGCGACTACTTCGCTACAACGGGGTACCGCCAACAATTATGCAAATTATCCAACAGTTGTACGACAGTGCTGCATGCCAAGTAATCCACAGTGGGAAACTTACGGAATCCTTCAAAGTAAAGACGGGAGTAAGACAAGCTGGCTGCCTACTGATTGCAGTAGACTGGATAATGCGACAAACAGTGGGCAGCGAGGAAACTGGCATAAAATGTACCCTCACGAAAAACTTGGAGGGTCTAGACTTCGCCGATGATATATGTCTGATTTCCCACAAACTGGAAGATATGCAAGTGAAATGAACAAGTTGACGATAGAAGAAGCATCAAGAGACGATAAGACTTAAGGCGAACATAGAGGAAACAGAGGTGATAAAGATTCCTGGCCAACACCACCAACAACAACAGACAAAGATCAGCATAAATGGGAGGAACCTGAAAGAAACAACCTCCTTTACCTACCTACCTGGGAAGCATAGTTCCAACTACAGGCGGATGGAACAGATGAGGATATGAAAGCAAGAATTGGGAAAGTGAGGCAAGTAAGCTTTCATTACTCTCAAGTCTGTGTATGGAGATAAACAGCACTCAGCGTGAAAAATGAGAATAAGATCCGGATTTTCAACTCCAATGTGAAGTCAGTGCTACTTACAATACGGATCACAGACTTGGCCACTATGAACAAACTACAGACTTTCATCAACATCTGTCTTCGTTCAATAAAACTCAAGATCAGATGGCCGGCCAGAAAAGATCAGCAACAGGGAGGGATCTTTGAGAGCGAACCATTCCACCCAGCAGGAACCAATTGTGGAACAAATATGCAGGAAGAAATGAAGATGGATTGGCTGGCCATACTCTGAGAAAACAAACCATCAAGTGAGTGACATCACACAGCAGGTCATCGCTCGAGTGGGACTCGAATGGGAAGCAGCGAGTTGGTCGTCAGTGTGAGAGTGGTGTGGCATGGAGGAGGTCATGTGAAGAGGAGATGAAAGCATGTGGACAGACATGGAGCCATATGAAAATGTTATCACAGAACCGAACGCAATGGAGACGTGTGGCTGAAGCCCTATGTTCCTCAAGGAATTAAAGGAAACAATAATATATACAGTAATAATGCACATGCAGATAGACATCTCCAAATCCATGTATTGGTATAACTCTATTTCTAAATCCTAAACAAACACACAGATAGGACTTGTCTGACGTAAAATACACTTCATACAACATATTGACACACACATAAACACACGAACACGTACTACTTCTTATGTCACGCTACTATTTCTTTCCAAACTAGGACTCGTAGGAAGAGAGAGAGGAGAGATGGAAGTTCTCGTTACTTTTGCTTTCCTTTTCCTGCCTTTAAACAAATTGTTGACTTCTCTTACTTTTCACGTCTGTTAGTTAGTGAGACAAAATCGAATGCCTTTAACATGTGTCCCCATTCTATCAGAACACTTAACTGCCAGCCAATATTCGCGTGCAGGTATATGTACAAAATATATATATATATATATATGCACATATATACACAAACGTCAGCCAATTCCCCTTATCGTCATAATAAATAAACAACGAAAGGTCACACGAATCCTTCTTTCCTTCCCCGCTCCTCCAACCTCTTTTTCCTTGGGTATTTTTGTCTCTTTCTTCTTCTTTTCTTCAGGCAATGACTCCTTACAGCTATTTGCGTGTGTGTGTATGTGTGTGGAAAAATCCAGACAGACATTAGGACCTTAAGAGGACAACGAGGAGGACGAGGAGGTGAAACTGACAAGAAAACATATGAAGTCAAAAGGTAGACACACTCATACATACCCACATGTTCATGAATCTATATACACACACACACATAAATTGAAATTACTTATCAGTATTGTTATTATTATTATTACTATTATAGAATATCGATTAATATGGCTGTATGATGACTATTAATTAATACACATGCGTGTACACGTAGACTTATTGATCTGATTGGTAAGATTGGTTAGTTAGTGTCTTTGGTAAATTATTACCACTTCCAAAAAAAGTCAAACTGTCAGGCTAATTGCATTAATTCTTTTTTAATGGCATTAGGGGACAAAATGTCAGAAGGAAAGAGTATTGATAGAAGTAGTAGCTGTGTAGCGTGTGCTACTCCTGTGATAAGAATTATCAGTAATATATATATGTAGACACATATTGATAGGAAGTGGCCAAAAATTGAAAAAAACAACATTTTACGTTATTTTAATATAAATGTGCAAAACTTGGGCACTATTATTATATTATTATTATTGTATCTTTTAATTCCTAGAGGAACATAGAGCTTCAGCCGCGCGTCTCCATTGCCTTCGGTTCTCTGCTAGAGTCTTCACCTGACTCCATGTCTGCCCATACGTTTTCATCTCCTCTTCACATGACCTCCTCCTCGAAGTCACCCTTGCATTGACGACCGACTCGCCGCTTCCCTTTCGGGTTCCACTCGAGCAATGGCTTTTCTAGTGATGTCACTTGATGCAATGTTTCCTCAGAGTATGGCCAATCCAATCCATCTCCATTTCTTCCTGCCTATTTGTTTCACAATCGGTTCCTGCTGTGTTGGTTCGCTCCCAGAGATCCCTCCCTGTTGCTGGTCTTTTCTGGCCAGCCATCTGATCTTGAGTATTCTTGAACGAAGACAGATGTTGATGAAGGTTTGCAGTTTGTTCGAAGTGGCCTTCGTGACGCAGCGCCAGGTCTCTGATCCGTATAGTGAGTAGCACTGACTTAACATTGGAATTGAAAATCCATATCTTATTTTTGATGCTGAGTGGTGTTGACCTCCACACAGACTCGAGAGTAGTGAAAGCTTGTCTTGCTTTTCCGATTCTTGCTTTGATATCCTCGTCAGTTCCGTCCGCCTGTAGTTGAAACGATGCTTCCCAGGTAGGTAGGTAGGTAGGTGAAGGAGGTTGTTTCTTTCAGGTTCCCCCCATTTATGCTGATTGTTTGTCTGTTGTAGTTGTTGCTGTTGGTGGTGTTGGCCAGGAATCTTCATCACCTCTGTCTTCTCTATGTACACCTGAAGTCCTATCTCCTCTGGATGCTTCTTCTGCCAACTTGTTGCTTTTCGCTTGCATATCTCTTCCAGCAGTTTGTGGGAAATCAGACATATATCATCGGCGAAGTCCAGATCCTCCAAGTTCTTTGTGTGAGTCCATTTTATGCCTGTTTCCTCATTGCCCGCTGTCTGTCGCATTATCCAGTCTATTGCAATCAGCAAAATCATTGACGATAGTGGGCAGCCAGTTTGTCTTACTCCTGTCCTCACTTCGAAGGGTTCCGTAAGTTTC